TGATTCACATATGACTGTTTAAAAAGCTTTGATTTATACCAACATGATACAGGCAGAAGTTGAAAATTGTATTGCCTTTGGGGTCCTGAGGAGCTGTCCATGAGTGAAATAGCATGGGGTTGGACTGTCTGGGCCATCAGGGACAGGTGAAGTGGGAGTACAGATCTTTTCTAAATTTGGACACTACCACTTGGTCCCAGCTGATGAATTTTATAAAAAGTGTTTAATTAGTGCACTATAGTTATACATGAAAGCGGGGTGGGGTTCATTTGGGCATGTCCACAAATGCATGTAATAGAGTTTGCTCCATTTCAGTCCTCAGGGCTTCCCCTTTCCCTTCACTCCTTGCAACGTAGAAACTTTAGTGCTTCTATTTTTTTTAGAAGTATTTGGATGTTTGGATCTTTAGGTTTTAGATAAATCTTCTGATATGTACTTGTAGTAGTTAATATAGTCATGGACATTTTTACTAATTAGTAAATGTCATTCCGGATGCAACAAAAATGCCCTAACATTCAATTTGGTCACTGCTGCCAGTTTGAGATTGCTTTCATTTGACTCTAACTACAATCCAGTGAAGCAGGCAGAAGAGGGTATTTTTTGTTACAAAAAGGAAGCTGAGGCCCAGAACTGATTGTCCCACCATTTGTGCACTGCCTGTCCCCTGGTGACGTAAGCTTCATGAAGCCATTTCCTTCACTGCTCACAACCCAGCTCCTGGAATCGTTTCTGGAGCAGGTGGACACTTGGAGAAATATTGGTTGAATGAATGAATGATGAACAAATGAAATGAAGTTAAGTCACACGTCAAACAATGTCTACATTTCTGTGCCAAATATTCAACATTCTTTATCTCATTTTAATTTGACAACATTTTGTGAGAATTAATGGTATTATTTTGTAGTAGAGTAATCTGTCGCTCAGTAAGTTGCCTTGAGTTCATGCATTTTAGAAGTAGAGACTCAGGCCAGAACCCAGATCCTCCTTGGATTGCTGATTCCTTTCACTATCCTACTCCACTACTCTGCCACCTATTTGTAATATTGATATTGTCCACCATATTCTCCCAAACCCGGACATTTTATCTTGCATCGCCTCTTCCTATGCTGCATGTGGGGGAAATACGGAGGTGATCAAAGTATTATTCTATGAATTACCTGGTTTATTGCCATACAAAGAAAATTTTTGCTTAGGTTCATAATGCTTAAGGAGGAGGGGAATAATGGGAACAGTCTCACGGGGAGTAAACTTAGATGTACAATAAGCACATAGTGAGTGGGTTCCAAATTTATTGAAGTCCAGTTACTCAGGGGCAGACCTCTGTAGAAAGGAAAATGTAACTAAAGTTTGTGGTGTATCTTTATACAAGCAGTTCTTTGGAGGAACTGGCTCTACCATTGCAGCAGAGATCTGCAATGTCACATGAGGTGCCCTGGTGCTTGAGGGTGGTGTTGGTGTTGGTGGGCAAGTGAGTGTTCAAAGCTTGGAAGCCAACATGGTGTCACCCTGTTACAGCCTGAGTTCTCAAGTCTTTGGAGAAGCAGCCAGCGGAGTGTAGTCCTGCTGTGGCCTAAGTTCTTAAAGTGTCAGTCAAACCCTTGAGATTATATATATCTTGAAGTTCTGTAGTTGCTATGGTTTGGGTCTTGAGTGTTGTGCAAAGGTCCACATGTTAAAGGCTTGGTTCCTAGCTTGTGGTGCTACTGGGAGAGTCCTTTAAGAAGTAGGGACTAGTGGAAAGTCTTCAGATTATTGGGAACATACACTGGAAGGGGATTGTGGGACTCTGGTCTCTTTGTCTGTTTTGCTTCATGGCCATGAAGCAAGGGGTTTTGCTCTGCTACACACTCCTACCATGATGTGCTACGTTGTTTTAGGCCCCCCAGGCCTAATACAATGTATTTGCCCAATCATGAATTGGAAACTCCAAAACTGTGAGCCAAAATAAACCTTTTCTCATTATAAATTTGATTATGTCAGGAATTTGTTATAGTGATGGAAAGCTGACAAACATAGTGATTGAGGTTAATAACTCACACATTGGAGTCTGATGAGGTTTAATGTAACATTGCTGAAGGAAGAGGGAGTTTGCTCCCACATATGAAGGTCTGATAAGATGTTGTATTCTTAAACAAAACATCAAAACAAAAAAATGCAAACTCCAAAAGAAAAACTTTATATAATAAACTATGTATTTGGAATCATTTCAAAGCAACATAACACCCTAGAACAAGGGCCTACATACTTTCTCTGTGAAAGGCCAGATAATAAATTTTTAGATTTTGTGAGTCACACATTCTCCATTGCAAGTATTTAAGCTACCCAAGACAAATGCACATAAATCTGTATGGCTGGGTTCCAGGAACCACATTTTTCTTGAGGGCTATAGTTTTTCAGTTTCTGCCCTAGAAGACAGGGAAATTACCCACTCAACTGGGTTAAGTTCCTAGATCATAATAGATGTTTAAATTCTGTCTTAACTATTTATCTTTACTTAATGATTCTTAGAAATGTTTACTGCTGTTGCACCTTATGTTACTCTGAGGTTGCAGTGGTGTGCTGGTAAATGCGTAACAGCTAGTTCTCTGGTAGGCTATAAAGGCTTTGATGAGTAGTTTGCCAATTTATGATTTCCATGGTATAAATATTATTGTTATGGCCAATTTCAACTCATCAAGATGACTGAACACAGCATGGAGAGGACATGCAGTTGGGGCTGGCTCTAGAACCTTAGTGTCTGAGGGACTAGACCAGTTTGGATTCTTCTGGAAGAAGTAACAAAAATCCCAACTAGTTATAACAATAAGTAAGATGTACTGTTATTTAATAAGCTAGAGAGAGTGGCTCCAGAAGTAGTTAACTCAGTAGCTCAGTGACATCACTGAGGTCCCAGTTCTTTTCATTGTTCTGCCCTGCTGCCTTGGCTCATTGACTCTGTCCCTGGACTAACTTCCTTCATGGTTAAGGGGTAGCTGTTGTAGTCCCAGGTATCAGGTCCAGATTCAGAATGCTTATAGGATGAAGAAGGGCTTGTTTCTTTCCTGTATCTTAAGAACAAGGAAACATTTCCTGGAGGATTTCCCCCACAGCCCATTGGCTAGAATTGCTGTACATCCCATCCCTTGTCACTCACTGACAGAGGGAGGGAGATCAGCCACAACCCATTCCCAGAAACAGTGAATTGGATCACCATTCCCTGAAGCATGTGGCCCCTGGAAAGAGCTAGTAAATACCTACCTGAGCAAAACCAGGGATAGGATAGAATGGAGAATGGGTAAACCATGGATTTTGAGTGGGCAGCCAACTGCCTGCTATAGTAGTCAGTGTTTGTGAAAACTATGAATAATAGTAGCTCTTTTAAGTTAGTCTTTCTCTGAATGTTTAATTTGAGGGAAAAAAGTAATAGACTATTAAATCTAGTTATCTACAGCACAGATTTATATTTTGGAGGGATGGATCCTGAAGCTCCAGAGTGTTAGAAATTCCTTTAGAGGACTGGTTTTGCTTTGAATTTGGAGATAATTCCATGGCTGATGAAGCCAGTGATCTACAGACACCTTTCAGGGAAATAGCAATGGTACCATTTTTTAAAAATGCATTTATAGCTGCATCAGCCTGCATTTTACATCATCCTTTGAGTGTGTCATCAGCAAGAGTTGTATGTGTAGGATTAGGCAAAAATGTTTATGAATTTCTACCACAGAATAAGGACATGTGATGGAAGCTGTGCTGGGCATGGGTTAGGAATAGTGGCCTTATAATCAGACTAGTTCATGTCCCACTTCTGTTGCTTAATAGTGATAATAGTAATTGGGAAAATTAAGCTCTCTAGCCTAGTTTCTTACCTACTTTCTTTGGGTTGTTATAAGCGTTAACTTTTGGTTATTCTGTCTCTGAGGCTGTGGAATAGCATTTTGGCCTATGGAAAGTATTCTATAAATGGTAGTTCTATATCATTGTTTTCACAAGCCCCGACACCTGTATTTTGACTATTCATCCCTAGGCCAGTTATTAATATTATTATTTCCAATAATGATTTTATTTTCTTTAATCAGTAGGTTTAGTATCAATATTGGTCTTCCAATATTTTTGATGAATCTCTAATACTTTTCAGCTATCTACTTGCTCTCCTCTGACAGCCTCCCTCCATTCACAGGATGCTAATAAGATAAAGAGGAGGCACCTGGCTTCAGACTGAGCCATCTTGAGTGGTGTATGTGGAATTACCGTTGCTGCCTCTGCTTCACTACCTGTGCTCTGTATTTGCTCACAGAATTCACCGGCAAACAGTTTGTTCCAGTGGCTTCAAAGATGTACTCATGCAAAATTCTGTTGTGAGCCATTTTCTTATATTAACACATAGCTTATTATGCAGTTTGGTTTGCCTATAATTTACCAGGTGGCACATAGTCTATGTTCACCTGATAATGCACGCTTTGTCATGCTTGAAACAATCTTTCGTTTAATTAATGTTAATACTTCTACTTGCAATCATAATGAAATTGTATCAACAACTGAGTTATTTGCTCCATCCACTAAAAAATGTACCTGTCAAACTCGTATTTTGCCTCTTAAAAAATTTGTCCTTAACTATAGTTAAGGAGGCTGAAGAGTACCTTAAGGAACTTATTTCTTTGCATTTTCTATGGGGCCAGAATCCAGGCACAGCTTAGTGGGGTCTTTCCCCAAGGGCCTCACAAAGCTTCAGCCAAGGTGTCAGCTAGACTATGTTCTTAACTAGGGAAAAATCAGCTTCCAGGTTCACTTGGGATGTTAGCAAAAATAAAAACAACAACAGCAAAAAAAAAAAAAAAAACCTCTAAGATCTGTCAGGTTTTTTTTTTCCCCTTCTGTTAGATGACAGTTCCTGCCAAGTGGCTGTCCATGGGCAGTAGGCAACATGGTAGCAGGTTTCTACCAGGCCAGTGGGAAGGCCAGGGTACAAACCCACCTTTGGACAGGGCAATAAAATACAAATATGTCCCCATTTTTGTTTGTAGATGGCCAGTAACCCATGTGCCAGGTAGCATTCTATGCCGACCTTGAATAACAACAGGAAGCTGCTGAGCAGCAAACTCTTCTGAGATCATAACTTGCTGTTGGAATAACTTAGAAAAGAAGAAAAAGGAATTGGAACCATGGCAAAAGTAAATAGACCTGGGTCTACCTCCCCTCCAGATGGAGGATGGGGCTGGATGATCGTGGCTGGCTGTTTCCTTGTTACCATCTGCACCCGGGCGGTCACCAGGTAAGTGGAGATTTTCTTCTTTTCTTTCATTTCCTTCCTTCCTTCCTTCCTTCCTTCCTTCCTTCCTTCCTCCCTCCCTCCCTCCCTCCCTCCCTCCTTTCTTTCTTTCTCTTTCCCTCCCTCCCTCCCTCCCTCCCTCCTTCCCTTCCCTTCCCTTCCCTTCCCTTCCCTTCCCTTCCCTTCCCCTCCCTCCCTCCCTTCCTTCCTTCGTTCCTTCCCTGCCCAGGCTGATCTTGAACTCCTGGACTCAAGGGATTCTCCTACCTCACCCTCTCAAATACTGGGACAACAGCTATCATCTCTGCCTGGGATTTTATTCTTAGTTTGTTAAGAAGACCTGGTTTGTCTTTTCTTCTAAATATGCTTCATTCTATTTCTGAAACTATCATTGTGAAAGTGTGTGTGTGTGTGTGTGTGTGTGTATTTCCTTTGCACAGATTTTTTTTTCTTTGCAAGTTCTGATATTCAAGAGTTTGGGAGAGTGGTATCTTCTATAATATCTGATATGTGTTAGAATATTTAGGAGTGTTAGGATATTTTTAGACCAAAAGTAATGGCACACCAGCATTCATTTTCATCAGCAGCTCTAGAAGATGTGAAAGAATATGACATATTTCTTTTTGCCCTCTATCTTCCTTTATCATTAATATGAAATATTTAAACATGAGAAAACATGGGACATGTCTAGATTTGCACATTAGAGGAGGAATTTGTTCCATGGTATTTTCAAAATGAAATTACTGTTCTAGAGATTTTAAAGAATTGATAAATTCACACCCAAGAAGCTAAGATAATATCTGATATGTGTTAGAATATATAAGCTGACATGGTTTCAGAAATGTGCAAGATGATTTCTGCAAGTTCATTTTTCCAGAATTTTCTTATTTGTCATATTCATGATAAATGTTAATTAAGATAAATCTTAATCATTAAGATTTAATAGTGGAAGTGGAAAGCTAATTGGGTGTGTGGTTCCTAATTCATAAATCAACAAAGCACTATGACAAGACATCATAATGGTATAACATGTGTCTTTCAATCTAGGGATGAGGAAAAGAATGCCAAGTGACAAAAAGTGTGATTAGAATGCTTACAGTAAATTTGTGAGCATATCATATGGAGTTATCCTTATGCAGGGTTAGAAACTATAATCACCCTTGAAAGAAAAAGCACGTAACTTGGGAACCCTTTGGTTCATACAGGTACTGAGTCCTTTGAAACTCACAACCTGGAATTAAGATTTTTTAAATTTTATTTTACATTTTGGTTACGGTGATGGAGGCTGAGTTTGAGATTGAAGAAGGGGAACAACCATAAATACAGGAATTCTCTCATTCTCATTTGCTCATTTCTTTCTCTCTCTCTAAAAGTATGGTGTTTGCTTTGCTTAAGTTAGATGGGTATACATTGCAACTCATTTCATTTCATTTTTGTTTGGAATAAATACTTGAGATCTGCATATGTTAACTCTTTCCTATCAGGTGCTTTTTCCTCCCCAATAGTACTCTGCTTTTTCTCTGGCAACACATTTTTGACAGTAGAAGAAAGTCATTTGCATTAATAACTTTATTTGAAGGCATCAACAATAAAGGCATTAAACCCTACCCCCCCAAAAGTGTCCTGTCATAGTGCCAAGGGGACAGTTTTCTCCAAATTCCTCTTACAGAGACCTTCTACCCTGTGTCCTATTGGTAATTGGCCATAGGTAATATTATCCCCAATCCATGTAGAAACAACTACACATTAAGAGATTTTTAGATTATAATTTTGTTTCAACTTCAGTTGGTACCAATCCCACCAATATGCACCATGCATTCATTGAGGATAAGGCTCTGTGCTAGGTGCTGCCAAAATCCCAGAGATGTTGGACACCATATGGTAAACTCATACATAAATAAAATAAAAATAAAAATGTGCTTAAGTAAAAATGAAATGTAAAATAATACTGAAAGATAAGTTCTGAGCTGTAAGTTCAGAGCAGGCTTTCTAGAGAAGTTGGCCTTGGAGTTTGGTCTCAAAGAATGAGAAGTATTTGGCCCAGCAGAAATGGCAGACAAAGATGTTTCAAGCCACATCGGTGCCATACACTTCACCTGTCACTCATTTGGTGGCCATGGCAAACAGATTCCCTTCCTGAACTACCAAAGACTGAGCCAGAAATCAGAAAAGAAGTTTGCATTTGGTAAAAAAAGAGAGGTTATCAGGATATATAGAGAGGAGGATGCCTGAGCTGAATGAGGCTAAATGACAAAAGTGTGACAGTGTGGCCAGCATTGGACTCTAAATGTCCTGAACCAGGAAGCAGCCATGAGAACTGGCAAGGGAAACAAGTAGATAATCCAAGTGTGATTCATTCAGTCAGATAATCAGTGCCTATTGGGAAAACAACTTTTTAAAAAAAATTTTAAAAATTTACTAAAAACCTAAATATCATGCAATTCAAATTTTAAAAATTTGGAAATATATAAAATAAAATGTCTTTTTCTCCTCACTTTCGAAATCCCAGTTTCATTGCCTAAAGTTAACCTCATCAATAGTTTCTTAAGGTTAGCCCAAAAATAAGACAAAACAAACAAAATCTCCCAACCTTATATGAACATGGAATGCATGTCCTTTTCATTTATATCAAATGGGATCATATTATGTACACTGTTTTGTGCTTTTTCCCCCTCACTTAGTAATATCTCTTAGAAATCTTTTTGTATTAGCACATATGGCTGTACCTCACTGAAAAATAGCTGCTTACAATTCCACCATATGAATGTATCCATAATTATTTAACACATTTTTATTGATTGAGCATTTATATTATTTTCTGGTTTTGCTGTTACAAAAAGTGTTGCAATATATGACCTAAGCCAAACTGAACAGACACTTAACAGAAGAAGAAACACAAATGATCAACAAACATAGGAAAAAATGTCCAACCTCTCTGGCAATTAGAGAAATGCAAATCAAAACTACACTGAGATTCTATCTCACTCCAGTTAGAATGGCAATCAGTACATACAGATCAGAACCATCATTTTAATACTTAATAATACAGTATTTAATTTATATGCCATAATTTATTTAACCAGTTCTTCATTGATGAACAGTTAGTTTGTTACAATATTTGGCTACAATAAATAGTTCTCCAAAATATATCCTTTTATGTATATCTATTACTATTATCATCATGATGATCTGATTATTACCTTTGTATGAATCCTAGAAGTGAAACTGCTGGGGTATTTTTTGTTTTACAATATCTTTATTTAATTTACTTATTTATGTATGTGGTGCTGAGGATCGTACTCAGGGCCTCACACGTGCTAGGCAAGTGCCACAACCCAGCCCCCTGGGTTTTGTTTTTATAAATTGCTTTTTATTTTTAAAATTTTAAGTTGTATAACCACCTTTTAGAGTTATGAATAGTTGGGCCTGCTGGCACACACCTGTAATTCTGGATACTCCAGAGGCTGGGGCAAGAGCATCACAAGTTTGAGGCCAGCCTGGGCAACTTAGTGAGACCCTATCTCAAAATTTTAAAAAGGGGTAGGGCTGGGGATATAGCTCAGTAATTAAGCACCCTTGGGTCTGGTCCCCTGTACCAAAACAGGAAACAAACAAACAAACAGAGAAGCAGCAGCAGCAGCAGCAGTAGATGTTAACACAGTATTAAGATGAATAATGAGTGTTATTCTTGGCCTGCTGTCTTTTCTATAAATCCTTCTCTATAGCAAGGGTCTTCACATCTACTTGTCTTCAGGAGTCCCTCTGCGGGTTGAATACTTGTTGTTCTAGTTCTCCAGAATGACCCAAATGGTTCACGTCTGAATTCCTACTTGCTATGCCTCAGTCATTAAAACTCTTGGAAATTGAAAAAACTGATTGAATCAAAACTTTAAAGTTCTGGGTCAATTCCATGTTTATTTGCTTTTGGTATAAAATGCCTGCCTTGTATTTTTCAGATGTATCTCAATTTTTTTTGTGGAGTTCCAGACATATTTTGCTCAGGATTATGCACAAACAGCATGGATCCATTCCATTGTAGACTGTGTGACTATGCTTTGTGGTGAGTATCACATATTGGGATAGACAATTCCCAGATACCCTTGAACTGTCATGCCCATGACCTCTGACCAGATTAGAGAAAATGACTTTGATTACCAGCTTTTTTTAAGTGTAAGGATTATGTTAAAAATTATACCTTGAGATAGAGTCTCATTAACATTTCCCAGGTTGGCCTTGAACTTGTGATGCTCTTGCCCCAGCCTCTGGAGTATCTGGAATTACAGGTGTGTGCCAGCAGCTCCCCACCGCCCCCCCCCCCCCCCCCCAAAAAAAAAAAAGTTGGCTAAGACTATATTAAAAGAAAAGATCAATCCTACCTGTAGCCAACCTAACCAGACTTGGTTTTGGAATTAATGGTTTTGGCTGATGCTGGATGGGAGAAATCATTAATACACAGAAAAGGGCACATATCACCTGGTTCTTCCATATAAGGAGGTAGGATGCTGATCATCATAGAACTTGTCCTGATTTGGGGAGCAATTTACCACATTGTACATGCTTGACTTTTGTTTTGCAAATGCTATAGCATCCTTTTTCTCCAGTCTAGTAAACAGTCACTGAATAGCACCACAAGTCATTTCTATATGCTCTCCTAAGTGAGAGGCAAGAGTGTTGCATTACATCTCAAGTCTTGGTTTGCATCCCATTCCCTTCCCAGAGGGTTCAGAATTTGTCTCTCAGATTTTTTATCTTTTCATGCATAAATCTTCATGCTTAGTAAAGTGTTGGGGAAGGATAGGATTGTATAATCAGGAGCTAAAAATATTCATTCACTGTGGCTATAATTTCATTCAAGAAACCTCAGAGGTTCTTTTTAAAGGATGTAGAGTGTTCTAAAAATTCATGGAAACCAACATTGCATTGGTATAGAAGGAGAAAACAAACTTTGATGTTTTTCTTTTTATAAATTTCAATCACAGTTAGCAATTGTTAAAGTTTCTAAGATCGGATTAAATTGGAACAATCTGTGTACGGCCTAGACCCACTTAATCCTTTCACTTAGAAGAGTTTCTAATACTCTAGAAAACTTACTTCTTCAAGCCATGTCTCAGTGGCAAAAGAGAAATATTGTAATATTCAAAAACTCATATCTTCATCTAATTCCATTCTAGTTTCTGACTCATATTTATTTTTAGGAAAAAATGTACATTCTCAGGAGTCAGTTGAATTGTGTTGAAATGTATTTCTTGGGAAGAAGTTGAGAGCAATTATAGAACTAAAAACAGATTTCATGAGAAGACCAAGTTGACTTTTTCAACTAATAAAAGGTCTTAGAAGACCAAAAAATAATATATTTTGGCTTTGGAGCCTGACAATTTTTTTCCCCCTCTTCAGCTATCACTTGATTTGAGGGTCATGTTGTTAGTCACAGCATTTGTATCAGCTCGCCAAGAGGCTGTCTGTCTTTCTCAGAGGATATGGGTGACTCATTTCCCCTACTGTTATCTTTTGGAGAATATTTGTAATCCCCCAAAGAGGGGTAAATGGCTTTAAGTGACCAATGACTATGTGAGACTTTGAGGGTCATGTCAGAAGCAGTGTATTTAAGCTCTGTGCAGGAATGTGAGAGCCCATATATGAATACAAACTAAGTAACTCCACATCATGTATGACCACAAAAGTGGGAAGTTATACTCCATGTATATATGATATGTCCAAATACATTCTACTGCCATATATAACTAAAAAGAACAAAGAAAAATTTTTTTAAAAACAGAATGTCAGGGTTGGGGATGTGGCTCAAGCGGCAGCGCGCTCGCCTGCCATGCGTGCGGCCCAGGTTCGATCGTCAGCACCACATACAAACAAAGATGTTGTGTCCGCCAATAGCTAAAAATAAATAAATAAATGAATAAATATATATATGTATAAAAAAAACCAGAACGTCAGAGCTGTTGTTATACCCAATTATATATTCTTACCTACTCACCAGGTCAGATAATACTAGAACATCAGAGTTTAGAGTATGGACGAGAGACTGCTGAATCACATCTGGGACACCCGCTGGGCAAAATTTGCCATATGATGAACAGAGAAGTGAACCTTATTCATTGAGGGTGTGTGTGTGTGTGTGTGTGTGTGTGTGTAAATTATGGTATAAATTTTGTTACTTTCCAGCAAACATAGTAGGGCAACCTTGAGAATTCTGTATGTTCTTCAGAGATTCACTCATTCCTCTTCTCCAAGGGTTATATATATAGCTGATGTCTGAGTCTACATGGACATTGCAGTCCACCTCCATTTTAAACCTGCTCGATACAGAAATGATCATATTATACGGCTGCCCAAAGCATCAGCTTTTCTGATTTTATTCTTAAGAGTACTGGTGTCTGCATGAATTTTTCTTCAGGAAACAAACCACCCAGCTTTTCTACCCATCACTTTTGCCATTGTCTGGGAGACCAAGGAGTTATAAGATGAAATAACCCCATACTTAGCGTCAACTTAGCGTGTTGCCCTAAGCTGTACTTCTTGGTGACCACAGGCAGCTATATACCTCTTTTCTGGCCACATGCAGCTTTAACTAATATTCTATAAGCCTTGAGGCCAACACAATTCAGATACACTGGCAAATAGCAGATGAAGTGAAGCCAACCAGAATGTCGCTATGCATGTAAAACAATTTCCTTAGAATTTTCTAGGCTTTGATCTCTCATCCACATGATGGCAAGCCTGCATGCAGTGCTTGATGGTGGGATTTATCTTGCATTTTCACCCTGGTCTTCTGCTGCATGACATTGCTGGTGGCACAGGGCTGCCCACTTTCTTTCTCCACCAATTAACTGTCATCATCATTGCTGATGGTGTATTCCAATAGTACATCAAAGATCCTTGTTCAAGTGACATGTAATTTAAGTAAAGATCCACTGTTTAAAATCCCTATGGTCCTGGGATTGTGGCTGTAATGGAATGAAGATAAGGAAGAGGTGCTGAAATGCAAGGCGGGCCGCTTGAGTTTTATCCTGGCTCTGCTGCTTATTCTTTGTCTGGTCATGGACAGGTCACTTCTCTCTGGGCCTCAGTTTCCAAAGCTGTAAAATCAGTGAGATGGGCTTGGTGCTTTAATGGTTGATTGTTGGGGTTGTGGTTGTAGCCCAGTAGTAGAGTTCCTGCCTAGAATGTGTGAGGTACTGGGTTCAATCCTCAGTATCACATAAAAGTATATAAAATAAAGGCATAAAAATGTTGTATCTGCTTAAAAATAAGTAAACAAACAAAGGTTAATTGTTCTCTGCCCTGCCAATACAATACCACAGCCTTCTCACAGGGTCCACAAGACCTTTCTGTTGACCCTCTTTTTTTGTTATTATTTTTGAAGCTCCACTTGGGAGTGCTGTCAGTAACCACTTATCCTGTCAAGTGGGAATCATGCTGGGTGGCTTGCTTGCATCTACTGGTTTCATCCTGGGCTCATTTGCCACCAGCCTGAAGCATCTCTACCTCACTCTGGGAGTTCTTACAGGTAAGGGCGCTTTGTACCACTCATCTCACCCTCTCCCACTCAGGTGTTGCCAAGCATACAACAGAGCAGTGATTTTTAATATATTCATTGTGTTAGATGCACAGTTTAGCTGACCTAGGTTATGTCTGCCTACCTAGCAGTTAAACAGAGTTGCAAATGCTATTGCACTACCCTAATGAAAATGTATCACCACCTTAATTCATCCATAGGATAAAAGTAACTATAACTTTTCTCTTCAGCATTAATATATGGCTGAGGTTCTGTAAACAGAAGAAACGAGATTTCACTCAGCACGATATAAGTTTTCAGCAATGGTCATTCTCCTAATTTCTTTGCCAAGACATTAAAATACTATCTGTGTTTAATCTGAGTTTCCCTTGTTTTATGATGAATATCATTATCCAGTAAGTAGGAATTACCAATTTAAAAAGGATAGCCCTTGTGAACATTCCTATATTACACATAATTTACATTACAGATAATTTATGGCACCATTCTCAATGTTATACAAGCATTGCTTCAGAGAATCATAATGAATTCCATGCAAAGAGAAGCATCATATGTACATTCCATAAATCACACTTAAGGGACTGTGTCAGATCAAGATGGCGTTGGTTGGTGGAATTGGAATAGCAGTTTGCTCATCATTCAGAGGAGTGTGGAGAGTAGCACCCACTCTTATCTGGGTACTGTGCATAGATCAGGCCAATAAAGGATGTAACCTTCACAGGAGGCTGTAAATCAAGCTAAAGAAGATATATCCACCCCTAGTAACCTGAAGGGCCTGACGGCTAAGTGATCAGAGATCTTTTACCAGGGACTGTCCTGGTTTTAGCTCTGAAAGTCCCATATCCAGAAACCCCTAAGTCCAGGCAACTCTAGATTGCTGACCACCCTGCACTGTAGATGGAAATAGATCTTAGGGGGTTTCTTCTTTCCCTTCTCTGACATTCTAGATGCTATGAAACCTAGGCTTAAAGCACTACTCATTCTCAGGGGCTTTGTTTTGAAACTCTGTTTGTGATGCCTTGATGTGGCCAATTACTCTAAAAGAGGACCAATCAAGTCCGTATCTTAAATTAAAAAGTAACAGAAACTGAAAACCTTTAGAAATCTCTGGACTGTCAACATTTTTCTGCTGACCTTAATGGATATTTGCAGATTGCTATGTTCATAAATAAAGTTGGCATGATGTTTCCTGACTATATATGATGGAGTCATATATGTTATTTCAATCCAAACTCCAGAGTGGTCCATATTATCAGTGCATCTTCATAGGCAGTGAAGATTACAGATTATTTATGGCACCATCCAGATTTTCTAATACATTCCAGTTTTTAGTATGTATGATGATTTTTAACTTCTTCATTTAAAGTTGCTTAAAAAGTTATATTTTTCTAAGAAGAAAGTCACACATATTCTGTATTTTGAAAATTATGGGTGACTGGTGAGGGGAGACTTATTTTCAGCTTGGTTTACAAAACAGCTTTTAAAGGATTTTGCAAAAGGTGCGGCTCTCTATAATCCAGATCTTCTGAGATGGCTTCTTCCACTGGCTGCTCATGATGTTCCAGCACTCACAGAGTTCTCTTTTTCCCAGGTCTTGGATTTGCACTTTGTTACTCTCCTGCGATTGCCATGGTTGGCAAGTATTTCAGCAGACGGAAAGCCCTTGCTTATGGGATCGCCATGTCAGGGAGTGGCATTGGCACCTTTGTCCTGGCTCCTGTGGTTCAGCTCCTTATTGAACAGTTTTCGTGGAGGGGAGCACTACTCATTCTCGGGGGCTTCGTTTTGAATCTCTGTGTTTGTGGTGCCTTGATGCGGCCAATTACTCTTAAAGAGGACCGTTCAAGTTCAGAACAGAAATGTGACTGTCGAACTCAGAAAGAAGACTGTAAGCGGGCATCTCCCTATTCACCTTTGACCAAAGAATGGGCACAGACCTGCCTGTGTTGCTCTTTGCAGCAGGAATACAGTTTTTTGCTGATGCCAGACTTTGTTGTGTTAGCCGTCTCTGTTCTGTTTATGGCTTACGGCTGCAGCCCTCTCTTTGTGTACTTGGTGCCTTATGCTTTGAGTGTCGGAGTGAGTCACCAGCAAGCTGCTTTTCTTATGTCCATACTTGGGGTGATTGACATTATTGGCAATATCACATTTGGATGGCTAACCGACAGAAGGTAAAATCCATGAAAACACAATCAATCAGTTCCCCACTAGGGGACCTTGAGTCTTGAACTTCCTCTCACCCCCTGACCCTACAGAATACCTACATCTGAAGAAGTTTAGCAGGTCCTTTGGTCTCTGAGGGCCACTCCCTAGATCATGGGTTAGCAAGGTTTTTATGTAAAGCGACAGATACTAAACATCTTTTAGGTTTGTGGGCCACGTGGTCTTTAGCACAGCTACCTAATATGGTGTTGTAGCAGCCACAGACAACACGTTAACAAATAAGAGTAGCTGTGTTCTGTTGAGACTTTATTTATGCACACTGAATTTAGAATTCTCATGATTTTTACATGTCACCAAATATCATTCTTTTGATTTTTTTCCAATTATTTTTAAATGGAAAAAAGTCATTCTTGGTTCACAGGTAGTCCAAAAACAGGTGGCAGGCTGGATCTAGCCAAAATTTGCCTACCCTTGTTCCAGATGGTTTACAATGTTGAGTCTAAGTTGCAGAAGCCAAGGGTAACTACAAGTTCTTGCAACATATTTAATTCCATCCCAAGTAAACGCTTTCCTCAAGCAAGACAACTTCTGGCTGGTGTTATTGGTTTAATTTCTTTTTAAGTACCCCATAGATTGACTTGCAATGGGAAGAAGAGCAGAATCCAGGCAGGAGGGCCAGTTACCATAATAATCCATTATTTGTAGCCACATATTTATGTTTGACAGAGAAAATAGTAAGTAGTTCTAAGTAGACTTAGAAACCAAAATGATAAGAACCTACCAAGTAGTGTCTTTAGCAAATGCTCATCTGTTTGGATTGAAGTGTGTAGGTTACTCATGTCTCCTAAATGAAGGACTCTTTATACTTAAATTACGACTTGGGAGAGCTACGTCATGAAGCTTCTCACAGTTATGTCTTTGGTAATTAATCAGGTTCCAACTGCCATTCTCCAGTGTTATGAATACAATATTTAGGAGTAATTCCAGTTTTTTTTTTTTTTTTTTTTTTTTGTGGTGCTGGAAATCGAACCAAGACCTTGTACATGCTAAGCAAGTGTTCTATCACTGAGCTGGACCTCCAGCCTCTCCATATTTTTAACTAAGGAGGAAAGGGCAGAGGAAGGGAAATCTATAATCAGCAATTCAGTGAGAAGCAGCTTGTTGTAGGTCTTGCAGGAGGATCTCTAGTCTGAGACTCGTAAGACATAAGTTCTTGTGCCTGCTCTGCCCTTGATTAGTCCTGTGACCCAGGGAAAATCACCTAACCCTCAGATGCTCAAGGGTCTTCACATGTCAAATAGATCAGTGTAATGTTTACTGGTCAACCTGATACCATTTTGTGAGGCTCAAATAAGGCTGTGAAGAGAAAAGTGTTTATAAAACAAGCTGCAAGAGTTGACATTGTAAGAGTTTATGAAATAATTGGTGTTGTGGATGGGTTTGGAGTTACAGAGGGAAAGTAAAATGGAAGTTCCACTCACTGGGAAAATTTTAAAATAAGACTTAGTTTTAGTACAAGGCCTTCTTCATCTCTGGCAATTCATTTTAATGTCTTCATATTTCAATTTCCCCTTTGTATAGCCACTTGAGTTATATGCATATACCAATGGGTAACATATCTAAAGGATTTAATATGGTAGATGGCTAAAAAATATTAATCTCCTGACACTCTGCATATTTCACAGCTACCTTTAGAGTAACTATGAAATTGGTAGCCTTCTCATTTTAGAGTGAAAGAATTTGAAGTTCAAGGTAGGCAGGTAGTAGATGATAGAACTCGTTTCCATCTTACACCTTCCTTATTTTATAGCACATATTCTTTCTACCATACTGTGCTTCCTGGGAAGATAGAGTACTGTATTTGCATATGCCAAAAAAAGGACAGGAATGTGTAATGGGGGAGCCATCCCTATAAATAATTGCAATGCTTACTGCTGCATGGCCGTGGTTTTAAAGCTTCTTTATAGCAACTGTGCATCCTGCACTCATTCTTGTTTTTCAAATCCACAGGTGTCTGAAGAATTACCGGTATGTTTGCTACCTCTTTGCTGTGGGCCTAGATGGGCTCTGCTATCTCTGCCTTCCAATGCTTCGAAGTCTCCCCCTCCTGGTGCCTTTCTCTTGTACCTTTGGCTATTTTGATGGAGCCTACGTGACCTTGATCCCAGTAGTGACTGCTGAAATAGTAGGGACCACCTCTTTGTCATCAGCGCTGGGTGTGGTGTACTTCCTTCATGCGGTGCCCTACTTGGTGAGCCCACCCATTGCAGGTAAGTGTTCAGAGATCCCCCAACCACTTTTGTCCTATTGATTGCAAAGAGTGAATCCCTCTTCACAGACATACATGATGAGGATTTTAAGGGAGCTAAGAAAGAGTAAAAGAGAACAGGATGCAAGAGCCACTGCAGAACATCATGATCTTACCCACATTCTTGTTTTATATTTTTATCTCTTTTTTCCAACCATATGGGAACTTTAGCCTTCCTGGAAAGAAAAAAGTCCCAAATTAGCATCTCTGTTCCATTCCACACTAATCATGGGAGCAATGGAATGGAGCAGCTGTTCAGACATCTAAGTGAGTAGGGCACATTCAGAAGGAAACCTGGTGGGAGGATAGGATTCCAACAGGGGGCAGTGAGGATGAAATGAGAAAGTGCTGGTGGCATAGTGGGTGTTTTGAGTGACAGGCAAAGAAGCTGGGCTCTATGTCCTTCAGAGACTGTGGACAGTATTAACGTTTTTGTGCACATTAATACTAATGGTAAAAAGGATATGACATTAGATTCCAAAGAATTACTAGGATAAAGAAAATGAACATGAAATATCTTACTAACAATTATTTTCTTTGCGAATTATATTGGTAATCCACTGGGTTAAATGAAAATATATTAAAATTAATTTCTCTATTTGTTTAAAAGAGAGAAAGAAGTAAAGGAGTACCAAGGTAACATATTCTGTATCTTCACAGTAGTACTATATATCCATATTTATATGTTGTCATTTTTTATATTTATGGTATCAAAATTCATATTACTTTAAACTAAATAGGGCAAATTGTACCATATATAAATTATATCTCAACAAACATGACTTTAAAAAAGAAATCTAGTTCATGAAGTATTTTAACAGTATTGGGCACATTCTAAGTTTTTATAAATACTTATATACTAAATATTTATAATCTGATAAATAATGGCTATTATTATGATTCATTAAAACAACCAGCATCAAGCTGTTTCATAGTGGGATAGGAAGGAGGAGCATGAGAGGAATAGAGGAATTCCAGATAGGGCAAAGGGGTGGGAGGGGAAGGGAGGGGGCATGGGGTTAGAATTGATGGTGGAATGTGATGGACATCATTATCCAGAGTTCATGTATGAAGACACGAATGGTGTGAATATACTTTGTATACAACCAGAGGTATGAAAAATTGTGCTCTATATATGTAATATGAATTGTAATGCATTCCATTGTCATATATAACAAATCAGAATAAAGAAATAAATTTTTAAAAGGATACTTTAGAAAGATGCGATCTAGCAATTAATCCAGTGATTTAGGACAGAGGCAGTTCAGATTCCATTTTAATAGTTCAGGAATCAATTGATAAAGGCTTAAACTAGGGTTGCTGCAGGAGAAGTGGAAATTAACTCCAGGTACAAGGAGGAGATTTGAAAAAATATGAACTGAATTCAGCATAGGGGAGGTGAAGGAGAGAAGGAAGTGAAAGATGACTTAGAAAATAATGTCATGATTGAAAGTCATAGGGAAATTGGAGACAGTGGCTTTGTCTGAAAAATAACAAATTTAAAGTTGAGATGTATTGAGATATCTGAAATAAACAGGTGAAAATACTCAAAGGAATTATTCAAATAAAATATGTACTTTAGGGAGCGAAGAGATTTGGATATACAGATTTGGGAGTCATCAAGTAAAGGATCTAGCTGTAAAATGCTAGAAAGGTATAGTGGTGCATGCCTGTAATCCCAGCAGCTCGGGAGACTGAGGCAGGAAGATAGCAAATTCAAATCCAGCCTCAGCAACTTAGTGAGACACTAAGCAACATCCTGTCTCAAAATAAAAATTTTTTGAAAAGGGCTGGGGATGTGGCTCAGTGGTTAAGCACCTCTGGGTTCAATCCCTGGTACAACAACAATAAAAATCTGTGAAATTCTATAGAAACTGGGAGCATGATCAAACAAATAATTCCACAAACATTTACTGCATGCATTAAACAAGTAATCCAACAAATATTTATTGCTTTTATAATCAGCATGGTGTTTGGCACTGGTGATTCAGTAACAAACAGGTCAGAACCTATTTCTTCTTTCCTGGAGCACATGGTGTGTAGACCAGTGATTCTGGGAATCCTGCATCCAAATTTCCTAATACCTTTGTCAAAATTTGTTAAAGATTAATTTGTTGCAGATTCTTTGAACTTTTCATCTAAGATCTGAATCTTTGGGGGTAAATTCCAAGAATCTGCATTTCCAACCAGCTTTCTTATGATATTCATGCACACTAAAGATTGAAAGTAAATGGTCCAGATTATTATCTGTCTAAATTAAAACTAAGAGTGAACAAGAAAGGCAAGAGGAAAAGGACCCAAATACTTGCCTAGGAAGAAGGGAGTTTCTTGAGGAAGGCAGGATTTCTGCTATTGGCTGCTATTATGAATGCACAGTTTAAGGTTATTTCCAAACTCCAGCAAGTGCTAATGCAGTGAGCTAGGACGAAATGCAGCTGCTTCACTACCCCAGGTGAAAGTTCCTTATCAGTCTAAACTCCACAATATGGGATTCTGAGTTTAGTCTTCATTTTTGGAAACGGCCCTCCACATATTCCCAGGTCCTCTCTCCAAAGCTAATTTTAGGGCTTACCAACTTTTAGGAACAGTATAATTCTGCTACATATCACAAAACCCAAATGAAATTGGGATTCCTGGAACTTTTTTCCCAAATTCTGGCAAATCAGATATTATACACATTAATGGAAGTTAAAGGATTAAGATGTGAGTTCCTGTCATAATAATTTTCTTGTTTATTTATCTTTAAATGAGAACTCTCCACTCAGTCTCTATTTGGTGCTACAGAAATACATGTGTAAATCAGGTGATAATTAAAATGTTTGAGAATAGCTGAATTGTGGAAAACTTTATAGGACATAAAACAATTTCTACAAATGCCATTTTTGACTAGTAGATTTGAGATGGGCAAAAGGAGAAACCAAATACTTCTCTGGTAGATTTCTTGGCATGTAAGCCAAATTTGGAGGAATTAAAAGAAACTTTTTGTTAATCACAAAGTAATTATCTACCACAGTTCAATTTTATCACACTTATTCTCTGATCATTTTAGTCCATATTGCATATCATACACCTGGTTTTCCTCAAAATTTAAACCAGGATAGATGTTGAGATTAATTTGTTGCAACAAGAGATAAAGGAAGTAAAAACTATGCTTACAAGTGTACACCTTCAGAAGTATGCTTTTGCAACATCTATGATGGTCTGAAATTCTGATTTTCAAACTGGATGGGATATAATATAATTTTCAAATTGGATCCAAATTAAAATTTGGACATTGCTCCACAGCCTATTATATTATTTAAGATAGTCGTGGGAGCTGGGAATACCACTAACACTTAATGTGATAATATTTTCTTAACCCCCTGAATTACTCCAGCTTCAATAATCTGAATGATGTTGAAAGTCACAGGATACACAATAAAAACTTAAGTTTTTATCTTTTCTACCAGATTTCCTGGGTTTACTAATAACTAATTCTTACTGTGTGGTTACTAAGTACACAGCACCATTCCAAATATCTCACTTAATAACGACAATCAATTTGTTTTTAGAAGTTGCCCTAAAAAATAGAATGCATTTCTCAGTTGCTGCACAATATTTTTAGGCGGTCTGCTTTTTGTCTCAAAATTGTCATGTTAGCACTAGCGATCTATTGTTATTATCCTTACAGATTATTCAATTTGCGAGTGGGTAAGAGCAGTGATTGAATTTTCAACTTAAGGATGTAATTTTGCTGCTGTCTGTTGCAGGATGGCTGGTGGATACGACTGGCAGCTACACTGCAGCGTTCCTTCTCTGTGGATTTTCAATGATCTTTAGTTCTGTGTTGCTTGGCTTTGCTAGACTTGTAAAGAGGATGAAAAGAACCCAGCTGCCATTCCTTGCCAAAGAATCTGATCCCAAGCTGCAGCTTTGGACCAATGGATCAGTGGCTTATTCTGTAGCAAGAGAATTAGATCAGAAAGATGGGGCTTCTGTGGCTACAGCAGCTCCTGGTTACAACCTCACATGACCAATGGCCTTCAGCCTGGGAATCTTTGGGGCTGATGGAAGAAAGGCCACCAGATTGGGCATATTTCTGAAGCATTTTATTTTGGCAGAAGTACTGCCTTCTAGGGAAATCATTATTATTGTTTTGTTAACATATTTATAAGGGAAAATAGAAAAAAAAAATAAAGAAAGCTGGACTAGCCTAGAGTTTCTTCATTTGTAATTTGGACTCGTAATATTGCTCTATGGGGAATGGAAGGAATTGATAGTGTTGGCTGTGATTAAGGGTAGTTCCAAGGCATAGCCAAAGCAAGTTGCCTGGCAGCAGCACTGTAATCCCCAACACTCTGCTCCCATCTCCACCCTCTTCATCGCCCCTCAGAAGGCAAACAGAAACACTGACACGTGGGATTTCTTACCCTATGCAGTTTTCAGAAGTCGGGGGGGGGGGGGGGGGGGGGGGGGGGGGGGGGTTTCATCTTGGGTGTGCTGGCAGAGTGTGAAAATGCCAATCCTTTTCCAAGGTGGAGTTCCTCATTAGGGTTTTAAACAGGGTGGTTAAAGCATACTTGAGATTCTTGCAAAGGTAATGATTAACGTAAAAAGAGACCCCCCCCCATGCCCCTTTCTTAGTCTTCTAGCTAGCCCTTGCTTCTGCCAATGGGTAGATATCACTTTGAGAATCCATGAAATGCCATGGTTGGAATGGCATCTTAAAGGGTAGCTGGTAAGATCTGTTTGAAATTGCTTGAAATGGAAAGCTCCTTTCCTAAGACTGTCCCAGGCACACACCTCTGTTACTATCACATACTAACTGTAAATTCAGGAGGACCTGTCAAGTCACAAGGGCAGCCTTTCTATCTTTTCTAAAATATCAATGATGCCAAAACTTCCCACTTTTTTTCTTCAGAGTGAGGGGAAAAAAACCCGCTCATTTTAAACTGCAGACACATTTCTGCTAGGAACAGAAAAATGTTGGCAGTATTCCAACTGAGCAGGAATTGAATTCTTGAATCAGCAGATCTCTGGTGTGCATTTTCTTTGCAGATCAGACATTAGATTCATCATTACCCAGAAGAGGACTTGGGGGATTTGAACTGAAAAATATTACCCTAGAGATATTCTGAAGGTGAGATCCTGTGTTCCTTCTTGGTGCAACGCCTAGTGCCTTTCATCTCTTTATGGATAATAACTAGAAACCTAACACACTGGATTATACTAGTTTATTCATCCCCCAGATACCCCACTTTTCTGTGTTTTGGGATCATTTCTGAGTTTTCAGATCCAAGAGGAAGGTTTTGGAGAGTGAAGAGAAAGGGCGGTCCCCTAGTTTATCTCTAGCTGTTTAAAATTCACAGAGTTGTAATCTCAAGTCCCAAGTCATGTAAGATCTATAAACACTGATGAGTTGCATAATTACAACAGGGGGGTTGAGGTTAATTATTAAAGAATTTAAAATCCAAACTTCAAGAAAATATTTTGAACCCAAAGACCATTTAGCCCACTATCCCTCAAGAGGCCTCTCCAATGACCTGCCAGGGTTACAGGAATTAAAACAAAGAAAGGGGGAAGATTTGAAGTTGGCTGAAGAATCCTTGCTTGGAACTGGATTATTTCACAAAATTAATTGTTAGTTTATTGCTTGCAGAATGAGATACTGGCTTAATTTAATATTTCATAATTGTTTTTCAAAAAGAAATATGAATGTTGTCTGTTATTTCTTTTCACAGTTTGAGAATTGAGTTTTTGAATCCATGGAATTTGTCATTTGAAATTTTAAAAAATATTTTTGAAAAAAATCTGTAAAAAAAAATCAAAGTTAAAATGAAGTTATATATGTTTGGAATAGCACTTTACCTTAAATATCATTTTTGAATCTTCAAGCCAAATATTTTTTAAAATTTAAGTAGCTATAAATACTCATACGTATTTTTTCATAGTGATCACAGTAAAGTTTTTGTTTATGTGCTTCTGTAATATAATTTCTCTAAAGTATTTATGAAAAATGAGCATAATGAGAGGTTTTAAAGATTTGTGTAAAATGATTTGGGATATTGTGACTTTGTAAATGCATAAAATTTGCATTTTACTTTCTCTCCTGGAGCAGAATTTTCAGAAAGCCAGTCAGAAAAATGTAGATCCACAATATTGCCATCTGCTCAGAATTTTACTGTTAACGTTCCATATATTTATATGGTTTATTTCAAAACTGAAGAATTCATGGGAATGATGTATTTTATGGGATCAAGAACAAAACTGTAGTAGAATGATTCTAAATCTTGAATATTTCTTTATATCATTGTAAATTTTATTTTGGAATTGACTGAGTAGAAAAGCAGAAAAAATTATCTACTTTTATAGTTGTGCTCTACCTTTGGGCCCTTTGTTCAGATTATAATTTCACTAATAAATTATATGTATGCTAATATTTTCCTATTTCAAATAAAATGAGTTTATAGTCATATGCTTGGAACAATTTTTTCCTTGGACAAAGGGTTTGGACAGGATGGTGAATGAGTCTCTCTGGTAATGCTAAGATGTAGCTAGGCGATCTACCAAATTCAAACCCTTTATTGAGTACTTCTGCTGTGCTAGCTACTCTACTAGGTGCTTCCTATGCATTGTTTCATTTAATCCCTACTAACCTATATCATCACAGTTTTGTAGATATAGTAACTGAAGCACCAGATCCCACAGGTTAGCTGCCATTGTGCTCCAGTGCCGTGACCAAGATCCTGTAACATTGGAGTACTGTTCAATGCTGGAGCCTTTGGTGCCTACTCGGATCATCTTTTGTGAGTTCAAGAAGCCATTATGAAGTAGGCTCTCCCTTGGGCAGATAAAAATCCTTTGCATTATGCTTCAACTTTCCAACCAGCGCAGAAGGGAAGATTTTAGATTGGAAATTTCCAAGACTTTTCCCAAGAGGTCTCATCAAAAACACTACTTCCAGCTAATTTGCTGGTGACTGACCCAGGCTTTTCTTTGGGACTTGGGGGATGGAGATATTGGGGAGCATACTTTTTCCCCAAAGTGAGTTCCACCTTCTGAGTGACCTAAGGCATGCCTTCCCAGTCAGCAGTGAGTTCTTTCAGAAGTGGCTGTGCCATTGCCAGTGTCTATTTGGCACTCACCTTCCTGGTCCTGATAGATCTAATTCTGAAAGTATTTATTGAAATGAAATAGTATGAATTCAGGGTAAATATCAGAGTTTCTCTTCTCATGTTTCACAGTTTGAGTTTTTAAAATTTTTTTAACTCCACCAGAATATATATTTTTATACCTGTTACCAGAGCACTAAAAGTCCATCAGTGACAGTAATTGTGATTCTGTCTCATAGTACAGAGAAGTATTTGGTGGCAGGATTGGGTATTAAATAATGACAAAAAGAATGACATTTAAAATAGAATACTTCACTAACGAACATTCCAGACATATACAAAAGTAAAAAAAAAAAAAAAAATTAAATGAATTCCATGTGCCCATCCTACAGAAGCTACAATTCCTCCCCTTCAAAGAAATAAGTTGGAATATATTAACATGTTGGTAGAATATGCCTTCCATAATAACTGAACTTGCTGCCCAGAATAATGGAACTTGGCAAGAACAACTTGTTCATACCAGCAGAGGGCATGGGTGGTTGGTATACTGTCACCTATTAATGGGCTCCATTGCTCACAAAGCAGACTGGGAACCCTTTTTTGCTATGGACTTGGAATCTGAATTGAGGGTTAAAACTTCCTCCACTATTCTATATCCCTCTTGCAGGCTTATATACCTGAGGCCTAGGATGATAATAAGGAGAAAGTGCACTCGAGATCATTATTTCTCTCATTATTGTTCTTAATTGATTAAGAGTCTAGGATCTCTTTGAGGGGTCTGGGACCTAAGATTGGTCTAAAATCAAAGAAAATTACTCTATTTTCATGGTTTTGACACTAAAAAGAATTAATGTGAGCATTATAAATGCAGACCTTTTAAAGCTTTCTCCTAAAAGTGTTACTTTGAAGGATCTAATGATGGAAGAGGTAGAGCTCGTGATCCTAGGAAGAAGACTTATTCTCATTCCTGGAGAGTTTGTTTTTGCAACTGGGTCAGAGCAGGGTCTAAGTGTGTGTCTTGGGAAGAATCTGGAAATAAGGGGATGGGATATGGGGAAGCCTCTTTGTTCCAGCAGACACCAGAGATCTCTGTGTCTCTAAATGTGTCAATTCCTGCTCACACAGAGATGGGAAAAAATTCAGATACCTAACTTTGGTATCTAAAGTTCAAATAGGGACCAGGTGAGTTGATACACACCTGTAGTCCCAGCAGCTTGGGAGGCAGAGGCAGGAGGATCGAAAGTTCAAGGCCAGACTCAGAAAATTAGCAAGCCCCTAAGCAACTTTGTGAGACCCTGTTTCAAAATAAAAACTAAAAAAAGGCCGGGGATGTGGCTCTGGTTTCAATCCTGGTACCTAAATAAACAAAATTGCAAAAATAAAGTACAAACAAAAGAGGGAAAAGCCTTTTTCAAAATCACAGTATTTGTAGGTTTGGTATGACCATTCAATACCCACACTGGAATATGACTGTGTTAGTCAGCTTTTTGTCGCTGTGACAAAAATACCTAGAAGAACAACTTAGAGAAGGAAAAGTTGATTTTGGGCTCACAGTTTCAGAGGTGCAGTTCATAGTCAGCTGACTCTGTGACCTGAGGTGAGGCAGAACATCATGGAGGGAAGCTGCTCAGCTCATGGCAGCTGGGGAAAAGAGAGCGACAGTGAGGAGCCAAGGACAAGATATGAATCCCAAGGGCACACCTCCAGTGACCTGCTTCCTCCAGCCCTGCCCCACCTGCCTACAATTACCACCCTTTAATCTATGTGTTATGGTTTAGATATGAGGTTTCTCCCAAAAGTGTGAGACAATGCAGGATCTTCAAAGGGGAAATAAGGGGAAGTGATTCGATTATGAGAGTGTCATCTAAGCAGTGGTTCAATCCATTTATGGATTAACTGGGATATAACTGTCAGCAGGTATGATGTGACTGAAGGAAGTAGGTCATTGAGGGTGTGACTTTGGGGTTTATATTTTGTCCATGGTAAGTAAAGCCCTCTCTCTGCTTTCTGGCTGCCATGTCCTGAACTGCTTTCCCCTGCCATACCCTTTTGCCTTGATGCTCTGCCTCATATTGGGCCCACAGCTATGGCGTTGGCCAAC